AAAATCGATTTTTTGGAAAACCGATTTTGCGTAAAAATTCCCGTTTTTCCTTAATTTTTCTTTTGTTTTTCCCGGCGCTTTTGAAAACTACTGGGAAATTAAAATTTTGACCTCCCCAATGCACCAACGATATTCACTTTCCAATCGAACAAGATACTGAAGTTGAAAATCGAAGCATTATTTCGACTACTTATCGTGTACACAGACACAAAAAAAAATAAAAAAATAAAAAAAAAAACACACATCATTTTAAAATCAATACATTCATCGTTTCACTCAGAATCTAAAAACGGTATTTTTTTTGAAAATCTTTATATCTTGACATTTTGGAAAGTTAACTTTACTGAACAGGTGATTCGGAACGCTCGATCCGGCGATTCAAAACAATTTATAATAAACTAAGAATGAACGTAAATAGTCCGGTCTTTGAAACCGGTATACACTGTTTAAAAACTGAAACCGAAAACAAAATCAAAAACGAAATCGGAAAAAATTGGAAACCAGTATTAAATCCAAAACCGAAACCGAAAAAAATTGGAAACTGGTACAAAAAATCGAAACCAAAACCGAAATTCCCTAATACCAGTATTGAAAATTTTAACCAAAATCGAAAAAAATAAAAACCGGTTGTACAAAATCGAAACTGAAACCGAATTTTTTTCAATTCTGCAAAATTGATAACCTAAAATGTATATTTTCCCCTTATTGCATTTATGCTTCCACTAATTTAGAGAACACTTTTATTTTACCATTACCACTCCATTTATTCCTAATAAAGAAGTCAACCTTTATAATCAAATAAAACAATAGTATATTTCAGTCGAGGGCGATGTCGATGTGTGCGGCACTAGCCGTAGGCGAGGGCCGGCATTTCGCACAAGACTGAAATGGCCTTCCCTCGCGAACCACACATACTATTTTTTGTCACGCCTATAACGATATACTAGGAGCCTTCTTTTAAATTTTCAAGTTTTTTTAACCAACAAATTAAATTTTATTGATATTTTTAGAAAAAAAGACTCATGAAATTGGATACTAAAAATGTTCCTAAACAGTTCAAAACAAATCAAAATATTTTGAAAATATTATCGTGTATAGAAAATGCAAATACAAACTATCAGTGAAAATTTATGTTGTTTTTCCCGGCGCTTTTTTTTTTTTGTGTCTGTCATCACCTTTTAGGACAGTAAAAGTGCTTGAATTTTCTTCAACAGTAGCTTTTCTGATAGGAAAGTGAATCTAGTTGGTACTTTGGGGGGTCAAAAGTATAAATGTCCTAGTAGTTTTCAATAGCGCCTTGAAAAACAAAAGAAAAATAAGGAAAAACAGGAATTTTCACGCAAAATCTGTTTTCGAGAAAATCGATTTTGGTTTTTGGTGCAACTCTTAAACTGACCGTAGGTACACGAAATTTTGACTGAATGTTTATATTAGCAATTTATATACATCATAACATTTTCCAAATATTTTGACTTATTTTGAGCTCTTTACGGACATTTTCAGTTTCCATTTTATTTTAGTTTTTTTTCTAAAAATATCAATAAAATTGTATTTGTTGGTTAAAAAAGCTTGAAAATTTAGTAGAAAGCTCCTAGTATATTGTTTCAAAGGCAGATGAAAAATATTAAAAATCCTTAGTCAGTTTTTTTTATAAGTATTTAAAGTTCAAAAATAGACAAAATCACGAAAATTAGCAAATTATTTTGAGTTAAGAATTCGTAAAAATGTTTCTTTTTAAATCTAAGGTTTTAAAATGTAATACATGATTTCTTATAAGATTATCTAAATTTATCAAAAAAAAAAAATGTCTATATAAGTCAAATTAAATTTTGATGAGCGTTTGAAATTCACATTTTTACAACATTGGATATTCACTCGATTTCTCATGTAGCGATTTCCTTATTTTGTTGTAATTCAAAAACGAACAACTGTAGATACATGAAAATTTCACTGAATGTTTATATTAGCATTTTCTATACACCATACAATTTTGAAAATATTTTGACTCTTTTTGAGCTGTTTACGGACATTTACAGCTTTCAATTTTTGTTTAGTTTTTTTTCTATACATATCAATAAAGTTTTATCTGTTGGGCCAAAAAGTGTAAAAATTTAATACAAGGGTCCTGATATATTGTTAAAATAGCAATTGAAAAATATTAAAAGTTCATAGGCACAATTTATTTTTATAAGCATTTAAACATCGAATTTTGACAATATTTATCAAAATCTCGAAAATGATCAATCATTGTAATTAATAAATTATAAAATGTTCAGTTTTTATAGCTAAGGATTGAAAATTTAAAACAAAGGTTCTCATAAATAGTTCATACTGTAACCAAAAAATTCATGAACACAGTTATTTTTTACAGACATTTTAAATTCAAATTTGGACGTAATTACATAATAAAAAACCTAGAATAACTATTTTAACTATTTTAGTTATTTTGTTGTGTTTATGTAATATTATTCGTGGGTACCTACTTGAAACTTCTAAAGTACACTATTAGGTATATATCTATGGAGTATGGACTATGATAGTATCAGGGTTTGTTGTTGACGTAAAACGCATTATAAGTACCTACCTAATGGATATTGACATATTGTTATATGATTAATTTGGAATTTATTATAGGTTCCTATTTTAGGTAAATTATTGTAAACTAACTAGTAACTACGTACCTGTAGGAATACATAATAATCAATAGGTATATCGTACATGTATCATTGTAGGAATATTTTTTATTCGGGTATAGTTGGTTGCAGTGATACAATAAAACTACAGTGGTATACTAGGTATATATATATATGTATAGAAGTCTGTGTGTAGGCCACAGGGCCTAGGGGCGTCAGGGGTTGTAATTATATTTTTTTTATATATACCGTGTGTTCACGAAAACAGTTTATATACTTTATAATTAAATTACCCATATTACTCAATACCCTAGTCTATACATATATTTGAATTCTGTTTGCGAAACATGAATCTAGATTGTTGGATCATCAATCTTCCTCACACAGAATACTAATATATGTATAGCGTATTGAGTAATGTAGGTGACTGAGTTAGAGTGTACACAGTTTGGCGGACACACGTTACTATGATATAACTATATTTATTATTTAATTCCGAATTCGTACAGGAAACATAATATTCTTATATATTATATAGAATAGCGGGCCATTTTTTTTTATGAAGGTACCTGCACATTTATGACGAATTTATTGAACTTATTTGTCAGTGTTGTTCCAAACATTCCTTTGAGTGTCACATTCTTTGCAATTTTGACAGAATGTGCTATGGTTCAGTGGCGTGAATCATAAAAAAAATTTGTGTTGCTTAAATAATTTTAGGAGACCTACCCCTCATAATACTGTTATACCGACCTATAAAATTATCTATTTTTTCATCTATGAATACCCACCCACCCATATTTAAGGTGTAGCCCGAGCAACGATTGGACCCTATGTTACACGCCACTGCTATGGCCCATATAGTCATATAGATTAAACAAATCGGGTTAAATCACCAGGTCATATTATTATTGTAATGTCAGAAGTAAAAAGTGGATGTCGCTCTGCTGTACAGTAGGTTACCAATTGGATCATTGTATAATGGACTGTATTAAACTTGAATTCAATGATATTCTATCATTGTTTAAGGAAAACGATTCTGAGCGGAGACAGTTTGTCAGTCTGAATATTTTATATTGTCATTAATATGATATATTGTTATTATTATAAAATGTAAGTTGAATCAATATTATAATATTATTATTTTTTATTCGTTTCTATGGTGGTTAGAAATTAAAATCCAATTTTTAGTGGTTTTTACCGTGGCATTAAAAAACTATTGATAAAATCGAAAAACGACCTTTTTAAAGTACCATCTTGATCCAATTTGCCAAAAGACGAGGTACTATATTATGTTGAAATCGAAGAACTCCTTCTGATAGAAATTTTGTATACAGGATATAAAAATAAACACCATTGTAAAACCACTAGCTTCCTCGCTCAGCTCAGAATCTAAAATTATTATTAAAACCAAATGAATTGCAATAATAATTTATTTTAAATAATAAATCTTAAGAAGAAAATACATTCAACAAGTTTTCAAATAGATAAAAAAAAAACAAAAACATTTTTATTTAAAATATCACTATAGAGATTTTAACAAAAACATAAATATATAAATTAGACATTGAGTTCAAAGTTTCAAACAATTAGAATTAATACCTATCAGTAAAATGTATAATATATATTACACATATTTATACAAAGGTAGGTGTATTTCATTTTACAAAATATGATTTCACTAATAGATAGAAACATCATAAATTGTAATAAGTAATAACATTCCAAAAAAATATAAACACAATTTTAAAAACAAAATCGAGATCAAACTAATTTATGACTGGAAGAACATAAACATTTTTTTTAAATTTAATCAAAACAGAGAAAAAAAAACATGCATTTTATTAGAATTGATCTAACAAAGTATAGTTAGTAAATATTTATGCAAAATTATCTGATTTCCAATTGCAAATTAAAAATCATGTTATATATTTAGAATTAGAAAGTATATCACACAAAAAGACATTTATAAATCTATAATTAGGAAGAATTAAATACAATGAATAATGATATAATAATATAATATAAACAGTAGTGTACTAATAATATATTACATTGGTAGATTAATTTATTTTAAACAATAATAAACTGAATAAGTACATTTAAGTACATAAATTTAGTTTATTTTTAATGCCCTGACAAATTATTTTTATATTTTGTGTACGGTTGTCAGGTAATATGTAAAATTTGTTTTTAAGTGTCATGTATTGAAGTTAATACTCTCTCAATATCAAATTTATTGGATAATGGATCCTCCAATATATACATTACGATAATACAATGAATTTCACAAAAAAAAAAATTAATGCCGAGAAAATAAAACATACATTTAATAGAACACGAAAAATATTAAAATTAACACTTAGATTATTTCAATTTTTTGGAAGTCTTTTCTGGTTCCATTTTATGATCTTCATAACTGTAAAATATTTATATATCTATTACTTTAATGCATTTATTTCTTATAAAAATACATTCTTTACAAGAGCATATTTTATCAAATATAAAGAAGTCATCATGGTTTTAACAGGTATCGTCGACTAAACAGTAAACTATTCTGTCACCATCTGGGTCAGTAACATCATCTACATATCTATAATATATAACGGAACCCGAACACCAGACTGAATGTCCTCACGGATACCGGTTGGTCTAATTTTTTGTGCCAGAAGCCAAAATACCATATTTTATTCATCATCAAAAGTTAATTCAATTATAGACATTATAACAATATCAGTTGTTCAAGATTTTTATACTTGTAACTTGTATTCATACAAATTTAAAAATTCAAATAAATATACTAAACATACTAGCTCAAAAATAGTAATGTTTAATAACATAAATAATTATTTATATGCATACTTTTAATGTTAACATTACCTGAATAAAGTTTTCAGATCTCCACATACTAAAGCCACCAACATAGGAGTAATTAAACATGCGGGTACCAAGTATAATAAAGCTGGCTGAGCTGCTTTATATACGTGCATGACAAATACAGTGGTAAGTAATCCCAAAAAATAGGCCGAAAATGTAGCATTGAAATATGTATTTGTCTTCCGTTTTAAGCTGTAAAATAACAAATTATATTAAAATGTACTCTCTTTAATTCATTAATTTAAATTAATAAAAGTTTATACCTATGATCAAATCTTAACATAAATGCAATAAATATTCCTGGGATAACAATATCGCCTAAGCCCAACATAGCAAAGTTTTTAGCAGCTAAAATACCATTTTCTAATAAATCCTGAGGGAATACAACTGCAATAAAGTATAAATAAATTAGAATGAAATAAAGTGTATTATCATGTATGTGTAAAAATTAGAATATTTCATGTAAAAAATGATGTATTATTAGTTTAAAAACTAACGTTTGATAGGAGCATCAAAAGATTTGGCCACAGTAACCATAACGTTTGTACCAAACACCCAAAATATATCATAGACGAATAGACCACATAAGAGAATACATCCAATTTTAATGGTGTTGAGGTGTAACAGTTCTATTCCATTTATAGCAAATGCCAATCCAAATATATTGTTTGCAATCCAATGCTAAAATTAAAAAAATATATATAATTAGATATGTTAATACTAGAACATTAACAAAAATAAAATAATACCTTGCTAATTATATAAAACGTTCCTAATGTTGCACACGATACAAAACATAACACATCATGAAGTGTACATTTTACATTTATATAATCATGTTTTTTTTCACCAGTGCCTTCTGTAAACTGCAGTTGGTATTTCGTTTTAGGTATACTTTTTGGTAACATGGCGCTGAATTTAGTACTAAGTAAAAAAAATAAATATGTTGTAGCAATAGTTTGAATAGGTAATTTTTATTTGGTCTTGTAAATAATGTAATAGATCTTTACCCTAAAATATTACTTAGAGCTGCCACTCCAAGAACATAAAAATATAAAGTCACTAATAGATTTATGTGTTCCTTAGAAAATACCTATATTTAAAATAAAGTAGATAGATATATTTTCAATACAAATAATGCATAAACAAATTGGCATAATATTATTATCTGTATGACTACATATGTTATACCCTAAAAACGATGTAGAGAGTAAAGAGAGCTCCACTAGCAATCACTGGAAACATCATGGCATCTTTTTCCGTCATGGACTCTGGTATTTCTTTTTTCATCTGGAATAGGAAACAAGATTTTAGCATAATGGCTTATTAAAAATAAGTTAGTTTAAATACTAACTTTATTTTTAATGTGTAGTTCTACTGATCGGAACGAGCCAAAGAATATAGGCACTAAGGCCATGACCACTAAACTGGTGTATGCAATCAGCATACCTTCGGTGGTGGCAGGTATTTTTTTTAGAACAGACTCCGTGTCCGTACCATTTGTTCCGTTTAAGGTTTTAATTATGTCATCTACGACTTCGGCCATCGTTAAAAAAAATGAATTAAATAATAAAAATAATAATGAAGACAACTAGCACTGATTTATTTAAAATTATTATTAATGGGTAGTAAATCGAGAAGACGTGAAGTAACAAATATTTGGATTTGGAATATAACCTAGTGAAAGTGAAACGTACCCACAAGTCAGAAACTCACAACACATACCGGAATAGTGAATACTCCAATATTGAATTAATCGTCTACTGGATATTGGATAATATAAAAAAGTGACAACAAGACACACAGGTAGTGATAAAGATGTAAAAGTGCACGTCGACTAAATAATCTGAGACAGGAATCCGTTATAAGTTCAGTAAATTTCTCTCTGAATACGTTGGTCACACTGCTTTGTTAAATTGTTTTTTCATAAATTTTCCCCGTTTTTAGTTTTTACTTTCCAGTTCTCAAATCTCAATTCTCAATGTTTTCATTCGATATCGGTCCGAAGCTAGAATGCCGAGTGATGAATGAGTGGTAGATAAAAAAATAACCGCCAATCGCCATTGTCTATTGGGCATTTGCGCCATTTTTAATTTCTTTGATTCTCTTTCATATTCTTCAGAACGTTATTACGCTACTGCCGACTGTTGCTGCCGAGAAGCTGTACCATTAATGTATATTGATGTGCCGATGTGTAGTAGTGTAGTACTATCAATCTCTTTACTATGAGACACGACTGTGGGAAATAGCCATTAGATTAAACCATAGAACCACCATGCAAGTTACAAGATATTAAATAATAACCGTTTGCTGTCGACTTTTCGTGTAATTGTGTGCTCCGTACTTCCATGGACCGCTGTACATGGCATTAGTGCCTACTGACTTTAACGTGTGATCACATTTGGACAAAATAAAAGGGTAAATATAAAATTGCAAATAGGTATATCAAGTATGTTAGTTGGTACATGCATGTCAAGGCTCTTGTGTCTTTCAAATACTACTGAACGATCTATTAACAGCAGATACAATTAATTGTTAATTGTTGCTGATAAAATATAAAATTTTTTAGTTTGTGCTTAACGTCCATATTAACAACTCAAATTAATTACATGAAATTTGTTTAGTACAATGGCAGTAAAAAGAAAGGATAAAACTGATAATCATGACACCCCTGCAAAAAACAAAAGGATTAGGCAAGAAAAAGTTGGTGACTTTTCCGATGATGAAGACTTGTCAGACATTGATGACGCAGATATATTCAATGGTATCCGCATACCGGTTGAATTACCTCCAATTAAATCAGCTGAAGAGAATCCTGGGCCTCGCATGGTCATTACAGAAATTGTTGCTAACAACTTTAAAAGTTATTTTGGCGAAGTTACTATTGGGAAATTTCATAAGGTAAGAACATGATTTTATGTGTTATCATGTAAGTAATGAGTTATTAGATTTGTTCATGGGAAAAGTCAATACTTAATATAATGCCTGAAAAAAAGTGGGCTTTTGGTAAGGAAGCAATAACAACATCAATTATGAGCACTGAGCAGAGTTAGGTTTAAGCCGGGATTACACGGCGCGTGGCGCGGCACAAGGAGTTGAAGCGTGTATATACCGCTCACGTTTAAAACCGACACGCTGTTTGGATAAGACGCACCATGCCAATTTTCCTTTGGCGCAAGATACAGAGACTGACAATTATCTGGAAGTAAAGTGCCGCGCATACAAACCTTGCCGTTCAGCCCCAATCAGACGGTGCGCCAACTGTACCGCCCTATAATACTCCTCAATCCACGCAACGCGTAGCACACCGTGTGATCCCAGCTTTACTGTTTTATGTTAATAAGAAACTGTTTACGTTTTAAGTCACTCATCAAATAGATTAAAGATTTTAAAGACAGTAATAAACAAAACCTTTGTATTGTCTTAGTTATCATTGCTATTAAGTATAATTCTAAGAAACTAAATTAATAATTGTTTTCATTTAAACTAGAGTTTATAAATGATAAATTAACTGTTAAATCAACTGTTAAATTAGCATACTTCAAAGTGTTCAGACTGAAAACTTCTTGTTTTTTTTTTATCAAATTTTAAAAAGCAAATACCAAGTAGTTTATAAACTAAAATACTATATATAAAATTACCAAAATCAATTTTAGTAAGATGAGGCCTGTAACTTAAATAGTACTGATTTTATCATCCAACAATTATAGTAGTGAAATATGAAGAAATTAGACTCCAACAAAATAACCTAGGAAAATGTTATTGATAAAGAATAAACACAGCAAAGCCATACATTTTTTTCAAGCGATACATTTTTGCCAACGATTTACTAATTTAGAAATGCCATTCAAATAAAATTCTTCGGGTTGAGCATTGAACCATCGTTTAACTTCAGCTTTAACTTTCTCGTCAGAATTGAATTTTGTACCCTTGAGATGTTCTTTAAGCTTAGGAAACAGAAAAAAAATCACATGGTGCCAAATCCGGGCTGTAGGGTGGGTGTGGAATGACTTGAAATCCCAGTGATTCAATTGCTGTCATTGTGGCACGGCTGCAATGAGGTCTCGCGTTGTCGTGATGAAGCAAAAGTTGGGTTAAATTTGGTCTGACACGCTTAATCCTTTTTTTCAGCCTTTTTAGTGTCTCTATGTATCGTATAGAATTTATTGTTGATCCTTTCTCTAAGTATTCAGTGTGGATCACACCTTTTGAATCCCAAAACACAGTCAACATGACTTTCCCAGCCGACGCTTGAACTTTAAACTTCTTTGGGGCTGGTGAAGTTTTATGACGAAATTCCATTGACTGTCTTTTATTTTCAGGGTCATAATGATGTACCCAAGATTCATCTCCGGTAACAATAATATTTAAAAAATTTTCTCTTTCACGGTCAAAACGCAAAAGAAGTTGGCGGCAATTTTCTACGCGATTTTGTTTCATTTCTTCCGTCAGCATTTTGGGCACCCACCTTGCGCATATTTTTCGATATTCAAGTTCACAGAGAATATTCCCAACGCTATTGCTATTTCTGATTGTTTAATCCTCCGTTTTCCCTTGACCAAATCATCGACTTTTTGTTTATGGGCCTCGTCAGTAACCGTCACCAGCCGTCCACTTCGATCCTGATCGGCAATAATTGCTTTTCCGACTTCAGAACCTTTAACCCGTAATGCCCAACGACGAACAGAACTTACATCGAGAGTTTGATTTCCATAAACCACAAGCAGGCGTCTATGAATATCGACTGGCTTCACATTTTCTGCAACGAGAAATTCAATAACAGCACGCTGTTTGAACCGCACATCTGAAGGGGCCGTCATTATAGATTCCATAAATAATAAAATATTAACATTACACTATCGCGTCTTCGCACACACTAAACCAACGACATAAACTATTATATTGACAACAAATGACAATTTTATTGTACATCTAAAAATAACTATAAGATAAGAGGCATTACTTATTAGCCCGCCCTCGTAGTATAACGTGGGTAAGAAGTAGGGACCGGATTTACATGCGCTTAAAATCTTGAAAATAAAATGCTTAGCTATGCTCTATAATTTCATCAAAATATTCTTTTTCATAAAAATGTATTAAACACTGAAAAAACAAATAAACGTAACAGTTTATAAAAATAAACAATTATATTTAATCTATAATATGGTGATATACTGCCATACCTATATTTAACTGTTGTAACCCAAACTTATGAATTCAAAGAGTATAAATATTAAAATAAAAAAATGATTGCATATAGTTCAACTACAGAATATTATTATGTATTAAAATAACTCAAACTTAAATTCAGCCTTATGAACTCAAAAAATAATAATAAAAAGTTTTAAATAATAAAAATAATAAAAAATTTACTATCTATTAGATTTTTATAAAATATTCAAATTTGAACCCAATATGGCAATATATTCCTTATTTATTTAAAAAAAAGTATATTTACAATCTATACAACAGACAAGGTATACCTAATAAGTAAGTGTGGTGACATAAAATAACATTAATAAGAATAGGAAGGCTCCCATCAGTGCCACCTGACCAGAGATTAATATATTTCTAAAACATGTGTTTTACACAAAATATTCTTTTTTATGCCCTAAAAAATGTTGTATATCCGTTCATAGGTGAATGAATCGTCGAGAAAGCTTATCCAATTGGAGTTGCATTCTCTCAGTAAAGATATGTGAAAACATAAAAATCCGGTTTCTAGTAATAAGGTACCTAGAAATATTTTCAAGAGAAGTTGGTGGAGTTGAACAATTATACATCAACTTAAAAAGAACTAAAGTTCTTATTAATTTAAAATTATAATTATTTAAATTTAATATGTATAAGAAATTTTAATATTTCATAAATTAAAAACTAAAAATTGAAAACAATTTTGATCTATGAATCCTACTTGTTTAAATTAATTCTAATTTACTTATTCATGATAGATATTAATTTTTAGGTGTATCTACACCAAGTAGTGCTTGACTGGTTAGGTATTTCCTTCTGTAGCATTCTATGTATAATTTTTCCTTGAGTTTTTCACTTTTTCTTAAAAAATTTTTTTGGACTTTTGAAATCAACAACAATATGGTTGAAATAGTTACCAAAACTGATAAAAAAACCCCTTGTGTGGTGTCCAAATTACTAATGTACTACAAAGCAAAAACTGTTTTATTTGGGACAACTTAACTCCCTCTGTATTTGTAGTAGAATATACCAACACAGATACAACATAGATAAAGTTCTTCCCTATGCGCTGTGGAATTTTATGTATATATTTTATTATATATATGGAATACAGAGGAAGTAAAGTTGTCCCATGCAAAACAGTTTTTGTTAAGTTGTACATTTGTAAGATGGAGACGATACATGTGGGTATCCTCCTAAGAGGATGTCAATGCACCATTTGTTTTCTCTCTCTGACCAACGCGCAACATAGCAAATTAATGTTTAACAGAACCAACCCTGTGTTATTACTTTTAATATTAGAGTGAATTCGCTTTTAGGCTATTATCAAACTTAGAGTTTTGAACATTACCTGTGTCCCTGCATTGGATTTTTTTCAATATTTTAGTGTTAGATAATTTATAAGCATTTTTAAATTGTAATAATTTACATGCTAATAACTTATACAAAAATTAAAATAGACATCGTAGGTAATGTGCTTTACTTGAAGTTTGATAATAGGTGAATTCACTCAGATATTAAAAGTAAAACACATGGGTTGGTTCTTCTAAACATAAATTTGCTATGTTGTGCGTGGGTTAGAGAGAGAAGACAAATGGTGTGTTGACATACTCTTAAGAAAAATTCAGGATTACCTATAGCTGAGTAGGTACCTATGTCTCAAATATTTCAATAAGTCATTCTGTTTTGGGTGTATTTGATTACTTCTTTTTCTCAAGTTTTACTTTGCTGTAAGTTAAACCACATCCAAACAATTTAAATATAAATCAAAATCACTCATTAATGTTTTTATTTTTTTTGTGATTCTTGTTTTTTGACCGAACGTTGTTGTAATTGAATGAATTCATCAAAATTGGTTTTACTGTAGCTGTACTGAAATATCTGGGATATTTTTTTCAGAATTCATATTTTTATACAATTTTATCAATAAGCAAGTATTCTGGAATTCTAAATTTTTTCCTACTCATCAACAGATTCATTATATTAATATTCATATTAACATAGTCGTAGTGTAATTTAAAAAGCTATACATATTGTCTAGTTAATATTTTATTAAGCTGAACTGCTTTTGATGATAAAAATTAATACCTCAAACTAATTGCAATTCTGTTCAAGTGTCTATAATATTTATAGGAAGTGGGTGACCAGAAAAAGTCTGAATCTTTATCATTAGATTGATACTACAGACTTGACAATGTTTGAGGAATTTAATGCAGTGAAAAACCTTAAAAATGCATTTAAAATGTCTAAAAATGCACTTAAAAAGCCAAAAATTGTGGTATAAAATGGTTTAGTTTAGTTTTTATATTTATATTAATATAAGTACATTATATGCAAACAAATTTAATTATTAAAAAAAAAATATGTTTTTAAAGATGTTAATTGACGGAATTTGCTTTAAAATACAAAAGGAAAGTATGACATAAAAAGTCAATAAAAAGAGCCAAAAAATTAAAAACTTCAAAAATGCAAAATAAAAGTTTCATAAATGGTTACATAAGTCAAATTATGTACCTACTTAAAAACCATCAGTTAAAAAAATGCACTTTCCTACAAATGCACAGCCCTGCTAATTATTTTTGTACATGTTATGGAAATTATTTCATTTTGAGTACTTTTAGTACTCTAAGTTAAGACTAGTGTTCTATATATAACCTTCTAAATCTTTATCACTAGATTTAATTCAAAATCTTAGTATGTTCTAAAATGTCCAAAATTTAAATTATTACCGTTGATTAATGGACCATTGTTCTGGTAACCACAAAATGATATATTACTCAGAGTTTAAAATAGTAGGTATAGGTTGAATGAAAGGACTCAATATATTTTTGTTTCCTTGACTGGTTTTTAAACACTGAAAATCAACTTGATTAACAACTTCAAAAGAAGGGTTTTCATATGTTTTTAAAAAATCTCGAGCTCTCAGTATTTACTCATTATGGTACTTGGTGATTTCGTGAGGATGGAGATCTTCTGTATTTTCCATAAAATATTTTACATTTTACATATATTAAAAATGTATTTACTAAAAACTCGGAGAAATACAATCTTTTCCCAGTATCATATTACCTAAATAAAATAAAGTACCTATTATATTTTCACAATAGTCCTAGTATTGCCACGTCCCTCTACACAAGTCGGCCACCGACTGTGTTTCTTAACTTAAATAGAATATAGATAAGAACTATTAAGAGCGTACTGTAAATAAATAAAGAACTATTGCGTGTATAGACTAGTATTTATTAACATAAGAGATGTTCCTCTCGTCGGCGTCGGGAACTAACTGACTGTCCGACTGCCGTGTGCAGTGTTGCAACCGTACAATGATAACAATTACAACATAATATAATTACATAATATAAAATAAGTGACAACATTGTAATATGTGATTTAGAACCTTACAGTACCCATACATTTGTTGTCTCCGTTTTACACACGCGCGACATAGTAAATTGTTTCTACTAGAACTGTAAACTAGTTTCAATAGTATGCTGTTAGTTTTGATACTAGAGTGAATTGACTTATTATACAACTTTTAGGTAAAAACATTATCTGTGCTTAAGCGTTGATGATTTTTTGAAATGTTCATTTTCAAGCAAGATATGGGTATGTAAAATATCAAAAATTAACAATGCTCATATCTCGCTTGAAAATTAAAATATCGTAAAAAAGCCAACGCTCAAGCACAGATAATGTTATTATCTAAAAAATTTAATGATAGGTAAAATCACTCCTAATATCAAAACTAACAACACACTATTGAAACTAATGAACAAAAATTTGCTATGTCGTACGTGTGTAAGACCAAGAAAACAAATGCATGGGTAGCATCCTCTTAAGCACAAACTTAGGCTTCTGGAGAAAATCATTTATATAATTTATTTAAATTTTATTTGTATATGTTTCTTGAGATGCAATAAATATTTATTATTACATGTAATTGATTATAAGTTTTGTTATACTTACATGTACAATTTATCAAATCATCTTATTTTTTTACAGAGTTTAACAAGTATTGTTGGTGCTAATGGTAGTGGAAAGAGTAATGTCATTGATTCTTTACTTTTTGTGTTTGGATACCGGTCTTCAAAAATTAGATCAAAAAAAGTGTCAGTACTCTTACATAAATCAGACAAGCATAAAGATGTTCGCCAATGTTCTGTCACTGTCTATTTTGTACATATTCAAGATGATGTAATAGTTTTATTATTATTTTTTATTATTAATAATTCATTATGTTTTTTACATTTTTTATCGATTATGTTACAGATCACAGCACAAACCGGATTTGTTCCTATTCCAGGTACTGAAATAAAAATTACACGCACAGCATTTAAAGACAATACATCATTTTATACATTAAATGACAAACGTGTTAAGTTTAAGGATGTAGCAATTATTTTAAAGAAAAATGGAATAGATTTAGTTCATAATAGATTTCTTATACTTCAGGTAAATTTTATTAAATATATAATCAAATATTTTCTTATATAAGACAAAATATAAATATATTTATTATTTATGTTAATAAATTTAGGGAGAGGTCGAACAAATTGCTATGATGAAACCTAAATCTGAAAATGACCATTCAACCGGTATGTTAGAATATTTAGAAGATGTCATTGGCACTGTGAGATACAAGGTTAGATTTTATTCAATATTTTGATGTTTGTATATTCGTTAATTAATTGACAACTTATTATTAAAAATATGTCATACCATAAAATAAATAATGTAATGGGCTTAATAACCTAAATAATTAAAAAATGTATACTTTATATCTTTATTTTATGTAATTTAATTACAAATAAATTTAGAAACCAATTACTAAACTTGAAGAAAGAGTAAAAGATTTATCATTGGAAAAAAATGAAAAAATAACTCGTTTGAAATTTGTTGCAAAAGAAAGAGAAGAACTTATAGAACCCGTAGAAGCTGTGATTTATTATCTAAAATTAGAAAACCGAATCACTCGATTGAGTAATAAAAAACACCAAAAAGATAGGTTTGTGTATTTAAATTTAAATTCTTTCAGTAAAAATTTATTATATAATATTTAATTTGTTAAATGTTTATGTATGTTATGTGTTTAATAGATTTGATATTGAAGCAATAATAGAAACCAAAACTGAAACTCAGAATAAGATGAATGATAAAATAAATTCTAATGAGAAAGAAATCAATACCATTTCTAAGGATAAGAAGCAATTTGAAAAAAAAATACAAGATTTATCTGAGTAGGTTGTTTACTTTTAAAATACTAGTATAAGACCTGATTGGCGTATTAGATTATTACCTTAATGTTCTCTGTCATTAATGATTTTATGCATGTTATAGTGCAAAAACTTCTGCCTGATTGTGTTACCTGGTTTCTTACTAGGTCTCACTCCACTGGCAATGTAGTCTGTCCATGTCTACTCTTTAAAAAGGAGGGCATTGTCATGCATGTAGTAAATATACATAGATTAATGTCATTATCTCCTTACTGCCCACTTTTTTATTGTCTGAAAACCTTGGTTTAGGGTAATTTCAAAAAAAAAAAATAATTTGTAATATCAACGATTTTTTATTTGTTTATCGTATGGCTATATAGTGTATGTTGTCGAGTAATAACATAAACATGATGGGCATTTGTGCCTTGGTGATGGTATTAATTATGCTATTTTAGATGTTTCTGTTTGTTATAACTTCGACATTTAAAAAAAGCATATGCAGGGAGGGCCACGAGCAGACTATTATCATTGTCCTCATATTAATAACTATTCTGTTATTTTCAGTTTTGTAGCAATTTTGCAGTTTATAATTTTTTTGTAATCAATATTAAAGTATTGAATTTAATTATTTGAAAATGTATAAATAATAATAATTTATTATAATTCAGCATTTAAAAGTATAATATTTATATTATTTATTTATTTGTTAGAAAGTTAAAATCCGATCACTTAATATTAAAAAAAAATGAAGACAAACATAAGAAATGCTTACGTAAAAAAGGTCAATTAAATGATGAATATAACCAGGCAAAAGCGCAGATTACCAAATATGAAAATTCTATACAACAGGAACAAAAAAAGGTAAAAATCAACCCATTATTAACTGTCTAATTTATTACATTGGTATTTGAAAAGTTTGGCAATTTAGATAACTGTGGGGGAAGTGGGTGTATCGTGTATGTAATTGAATATTTTTTTTTTAAATACTAATGAGGGATGCAGTCGTCTTTGTCTTGAGGAGAATAACATAGGGGATTGAACTTGACTGTATTAAAGCGGCTTATTCTGTACGTGAGTCTAATCTGTAATTGTTCAATATATAATCTTCTTGGCCACTAGGACCATCCCATCGAACAACCAATCTTCCAGGTCTCTGTCAGCTGCTTTTGTTTTCCAATCTGGGCCACCATTCAATGATTCCACTTCACTTCTCTTTACTACATCTTTCCATCTTAAATGGGGTCGTCCAAGCAGGCCCGTAGCCAGACCAAATTTTTTTTTTTTGGGGGGGGGGCATTATATATAAATGTATTAAATATTAATGCAACGTTTAATTTATTTACATTGACACCTCATTAAATTAACACAACTATAATTTTTCATCTAATATCCATTTATAATAGAATATTTTGGGCATTTACAATGAAACATTTGTTTTAAAGTTACAAATCGAATAATAATAAATAATAAAAATAAAACTTATATTAGAGTTTATATTAAAGTTTACATATTCACTGATGTTACGTGGTTAAATTTTGAACATTTTAATATTAATTAATACAGCTTCAATTTTATATTCTTCTGCTTGTTGAAATTCGTTAATAATAGGTCCATGTTTAGGTTTTCTGTCCGTTTGGACTCAAATGCCAATAAAGTTAAGTTGGAAAGCCGGTTATGTGACATTGATTGCCTTTGAGGATTGTCAACTCTGTTTAAGCAAGAAAATGTCGATTCACAAACTGCTGAGCTACATCCAAATACTTCAACCGCTGCTATCATTTCATATGTAGCTTTAAATGCTTTACGTTGTTGATAAAGCTCTAATAAGATGTTGTTATTAGATATAATATTTTCTTTTAAATAATTTTTACACAAATTATTTCTTCTTTTGAAGGAATATTAATTTTAAGATCATTAAATATTTTAAAATCATCGTCATTCAATCTGTATATGTTAGAAACAGCTTTAATAAGTTCATCATTTTTTTCAAAACGAGTTGCCATCTCAGATTTAATTATATCAATAACTTCATAAAATGTAGATAATAATGAAATATTAATATCGTCGTTGACATAATTTGTTAAGTACCAGATGATTCACTTAAAATACCTATATTCATTCAATTTTGTAGTAGTCTTTCTCTTGCGTTTTGGAGATTCAGTTTCGGTTTCAGGTAATAAATGTTCACAGTCTTTTAAAATTGCATTGAACACTTCTTCATTTCTTGATTGTTTTAAACTATTAATCACGCTATGAATAATTGGAATTGCTACGGTTAAACCAGTTTCTCTTGGGTGCAAAATAAACATCTTTCTAATATTTTTAGGGGGGCAATGACTGGGTTTAGAGGGGGCAATGCCCCCTCCCCCCTTGCCCCGTTTGGCTACGGGCCCGCGCCCAAGAGGTCTTTTCCCTTCTATGTTCTCTGCCAATACCATGTGCAGTAGTGGGTTCTGACTACGCCAAGCGTGATCTGCCCACTGTAGCCTTCTACTCTGGATTATATTTAATATGTTTGGCTTCTGAAAAAGTTCCTCTAGTTCTTGGTTTTTTCTTATTCTCCATCCTTCAATTTTCTTTAGGAAAGTTTTAAATAATTGAACCAAATTTTTAAGGGTACTAGAAACATTATTTCTGAATCTTGAGGCAGTCTGCTGTTGATTTGCTCAGTGAGCGCACATAAATAAGAAATAATGTAAAAATGGGGTGAAATCAGTAAGGGGAAATTTAATAGAGAAAGAGCAAATTAGAGTGGATGTGGATTTGATTAGATTATTGACAATCTCGTTCCCATATCGCAATGTGAATGAGAAAGTGTTAACCCATATAGAAAGTGAATATATAATTTGATTGATTGATATAAGTAACAATGCAAGTAACTCAATTTTCTAGTCTTTTACTAGGCCAAAGATCTTTCTTAAGATTTTCCTCTTTAGAATAATCAATTTATTTTCCTCCGTTTTTCTTAATGTCCATGTTTCTGCTCTTTATGTAATTATAGGGTGTAATAGTGTAATATATAATTGTAACTTTATTCTTCTCAACACAATATATAATAATATATATTATTAAGTTTCTTGGAGAAAAGATTACATAGTTTTAAAGTCATTAAGTTAATAACAAAAACCCACTTTCATAGGTAATATTTTTTTTTGGATTTTGCACTGTATTACAAAAATCGTATCGACTGATTTTGAACCACTCCTTAGTTGGTTGAATACTTTTGGTTGTATTAAGTCAGTCTTACCTTTATTAGCCAATGAATCAATTAAATTACACATTTTACCAATAGCCTCATGTTCGTTTTTTTAAACATTGTTCTTTTTTATTAATCTATCATTAAATTTACATTTTTGAAACTCACAAATAATATACATATATGAGAGGGTATAAGATTAGACTAATTATAGTGAGTACTGACTACTGACTATGGACTAATTCCGATTTCTGAACAACTATTTAGCACTTGTAAACCTCTAAATTCTCATTTATCTACATATTTCCTTTGCATTAAGTTAGTTATATCTCCATCAATCAAATTATATATTCACTTTCTATATGGGTTAACACTTTATCAGTCACATTGAGATATGGAACGAGATTGTCAATAATCTAACCAAATCCACATCCACTAATTTGCTCTTTCTCTATTAAATTTCCTCGGACTGATTTCACCTCATTTTTACATTATTTCTAATTTATGTGCGCTCACTGAGCAAATCTACAGCAAACTGCCTCAAGATTCAGAAATAATGTTTCTAGTAGCCTTAAAAATTTGTTTCAATTATTTAAAACTTTCCTAGATCCTCTATTATTCAATTTAACTGTCAACGTCAACGTTATACATTATTACCTGATAACATTTAAAACTTTGTCCTCTCTGTTACACTAAATTATTAAATGAATGCGATCTCCCTCCCATATTATATGTTTGTCCTACTTCACAGGTTAAACGCCTAATTCTGATAAATTCCCCAAATCCCATTCTACCCATCGTTAATACAAATTCTGAATTTGATATAAAAATTATCATATTTATTTATTTTGGAAGCTTGCCTTATTATATAATTTATTTATTGCATTCTATCTTGTATAACGCCATGTCCCACATTAATCTGACAATTTTTATTCTGATTATGCTATTCTATCTTAGTTAACTACCTATGTAATAATAATTTTTAAAAAAAACTAATGAAGTAGGTCACTACAACTTTTACTACTAATACCAAAAGCAAGACAAACATTTCTTAGGTTTAGATAAAATTGTCTTATAATAAGTGAATTAATATGTGTTTAAAAATATTTTTGCTTAGATAACTAAAGCTGAAGGTGTACCAAAAATTAAAGAGGCTGAATTGAAGAAATTGAAATCAGAATTACCAAGTTTAGAAGAGAAATGCATAGAATTGGAAGCAAATTATACAAAAGTAAATTCTAGTGGTTTTGAAAAATCAAAAAAATTTCGGGATGAAAAAGATGTATTGGCCCCTGAGGAATTAAAGCTGCAGAAACTTGTTGGTACCAAACAAAATCAAGTAAGTTCTAGAGCTTTAAATGTTGTAATTTGTAGTATCGATGTGTAAATCATTCAATCAATGTTGATTCTTATTTTAATCTTCTCTTTTAGTTTCAAACCTTAAAAACTGAGTTTGAGGTACTCATTGATACTGAGAAAACTGAAAAAGAAAAATTAATTAATCTGGAAGAACAAATGGCGGGAGGAGTTGAAAAGTTCCAAGAAAATATGAGGTAATAAAGTTCACATTTTACACCTATGTATTTAATGGTTAATCAATAATAAAGAACAACAACTTAAAAGAATTATTTGATTATGACAAAAAAAAATTGTCTGGGATTCCTTTAATGGTAGCGTCTCATACTATTATGCATTCTTAAAGTAAATAATCTTAGGAGTCAATAATCAATGTATATTGGTACAACCTTTATACCTTATCTAATCTCTACATCAGTGTCACAAACGGTGGTTGGGAAGCGTGAGCATATTGCTGGGAGGCATAAGCAGTCAACATGGAGCACTATTTGTACTTTTAAATTATTTTTATTTTATATAAATGTGGGATAAAACAAAAATTAATAATGGCCATGAACTCTCATTATCTCCACAGGGGTACTTAATCGGTACGATAAAAGGTTAGGTAGGTAAGTTAAAATATTTACTAAAAGGTCATCAATCTTTTTAATTTATGGTAAAGGTGAGCATAAGATTTTTGAAAATTTTAATAGGGGGTGTAGAATTAAAATGGCTGGGAATCACTGCTCTACACGTACAATACTTATAACTTTGATTTTGCTCACATCACAATGGCAAATGTGTTCACAATTCTTTTTAAATTAAAAATTTTTTTTTTTCTACTAGAAAAAAAGAAAAAGCAGAAGCAGATATACATGTTAGTAAAGATACAATTAAAGAACTAGAAACCAAAATAAAAAAATTAAATGAAGATGAGATACAGTTGAAAACTAAACTACAAAATATACGTCAGAGTTTAACTGAAAAGCGAACAGCTTATGCGGAAACAACTGAAAGAAGCCGACCTATTCAATACATTCTAAATTTAAAAGACAAAGGAGAAATCAATGGACTTCTTGGTAGATGTGTAAGTGCTTTTTAGTTACTTAACTTAAATGAAATACAAACAAATTAAAATTTTTAATTTCAGGGAGATTATGGACAGGTAGAAGGTAAATTTGACATTCCTGCGTGTACAGCTTGTGGTTCTACGGATCAAATTGTTGTCGAAACATCAGATGCAGCTCATGCATGCATTCAAAAATTGAGAACCAATAATATTGGTCGACTGACATTTTCAATCATGCCTCAAGTTCAAAAATTGAAACCCCGCGCTGATTCAAATAATAACTAGTAAGTC